GACTGACTGGGGCTGACTGACTCGGGACTGACAACCAATGACGACGACTGACTGGTGCTTTAACAATCTTCTTAGGCTTTATCTATTCCATTGCAAGAGGAGAGTCTCTGTTCTCTGATCTCTGTTCCCTAACTACAAGAGTATCTGTTTATATACTACTCTATTCAGAATAATTGTAATATTAAATGATCCTTTAAATTGTAATGGTTTGTCTGAATTAATTTAGTTGGTATCTCCCTCTTTGCCACAACAGTCTATAGGTTTGATCACATGGTGCAGAATCATTTTTCTCCCATCCTGACACAAGGTCTCTCAATGCCCCTCCTTCTCTTGGCTCCTGTTGTCCTCCTCTCACCACCCCCTTCCCTTTTAGTTTCAGAAGGGACATCAGCAGCAGGGCGTGGACCTCACTTGAATAAGGAGACTGGAAAAAAGAGAGACACAACAAGACGGACCAAAGTCGTATTCAACAAAGCTAAGGCCTCCTCGAAGAGAAACCCAGCCTCACGCTTGCTCTGCACGAGTGTGGGGGATTGACCTCTGTGTGCGTGTTACCGTTCCTGTGCATGAGCAGGTGGTACTTTGATGGGAGAGTGAGCAATGCCTCAAACGCAACAACAGCAGGCTGGCAACAGGGGGCAGTGCTCCTCCCGCTTCCTCCCCCTCCTGCTCCTCCTGCTCCCCTTCACTGCCCAGCCGAGCCAAGCAGCCATACACATACCCTCCAACTGTGAGTACCGGCTCATGCTGTACCATTCCTAACAATGGTACCCGAATGCTTCCGTGAGGTTCAAAGATCTATTTGTTGTGTTAATTACATTGTTGGTTCATCAAAGCATGCTAATAATTATCTTTCATCATGACTAATCAGTGCAAATGAGCAGAATGAACGCTTCTTTTTTCAGTAACCTCAGTGTTCAGGGTTGGATTGTGCTGTTGTGCTTTAAATACTACACTGTCTGAAGGTTCTTTGGTTAGCACTCATCTGTGCCTGTGCTCTGTCTAATTACTTTGTAATTGATCCCCTTATGCTGCATTGGTTAGTCCCACTATTGATCTGGTTTCCTTGGTGCAAACCAGAATTGGATTGGGAATAATTTAATCAACAATTGAGTTACACAACAAAAATCCAGCAAGGTTTTTCCTCGCTCACTCTCATTTTTGCCTCCTCCTCAATGCAATATGTGGGCATTAAAAATACAGCTGAGCTTGTGGCCCTGCAGGGAAATTGATCTTCATCTCCTCTGTCGCTGATAGCCTGCCCACAGAGCTCCAGTAGAGAGGGAGAGAATATTGTTTTCACTGCTGCTTTTGTTGTTCACTCTTTATTCAAAACTGCTTGCATTGAGTCAGTCATGCACCACCTCCACAGATTTCAGAAGTTTGTATATATAAATAATCAATCATGCATGGACACATGTGCTCTCACACATAAATATTGATGAAATGCAGTAAATTTTCCAAACTAATTCCCAAAGGGGTGAGGTGAGGTGATCAACCGAGGAAAATGAGGTGAGAGAGCTGAGAAGAATGAAGGGAGGATGATGAGGAGGAGGAAGGAGGAGCAGGTCAAAGCTGTAAAAGGTCAAGATGTCTCCTGCCTTTCAATGAGCAAGCTTATGCCATGTCAATTAGTCACCGAGGCAGCGAACAGGATCAGTAAAGGAGATGTGTTAGAATCAGTGTCAAGGAGGCCAAGGTTAAAAGCTAAGCTCCATTACAGGAAACATTACACTGCTTTATTGTCTATGTATCATAATTATTGTTCAATTACCAGTGAAACACTTCTATCTATCTATCTATCTATCTATC